GAGGGGGGTTCAAAGTTCTACTCCTATTGTTTTTAGGACCGTTTTCAGGTCGTTTATTAAATTTATCATCACATATATCTGGAATGTTAACAAATCCAAATTGTGAATTTGAATTAAATTTTATTTCATTCAATACACTTGGTCAATGGTTTCAATCATTAAGAATAAATGAAAGTAGAAATCAAATTGATGATGTTGATGATAAAAGTAGTCTTCAAACATCTGAAATTTATCAAGTTAATAAAGCATTAGATCTAGCGTTAATTGATTGATTACCAGAATTTAATAAAATAAAAGCAGCTATTGATTTACAACAAATTTTAAAAGTTGTTTTGAATTATTTTCTTTTTTTTAATTAAAATATTTATTTAGATTGATCATTCTCCACAAGAAATGAATCCAAAATCAGCTGGATCATCATTAATAATTAATGAAGATTCTCATGATTCAATAAATGAAAGTCAAACATCAACTGCATCGTCAAAAATTCATATAATGGAATGTGATGCAAGTAGTACTTCGAGTGATTTAATATTAGATGATATAAGATTACTTGTTGAATTATTTTATTTACTTAATGAACATAGACCAAATGCTCAAGAAATGTTTATTAATTTTTATTGGCTTAGATTTAATTATAATCGAAATGAAAAAGTAAATTAAATTGTTTCTTTTTCTTTTTGTTTTTATTAATTAATAAAAATAAGAGATTTGTTTTAGTCAAATGAATGGCGTTGTTGCGCTTCAGTATTTTATAATAATGTAAAAAATTTTAATCGTCTTGTTCAACGATTAATAATAATTCATAGTCGATCATTAATCTATAATGGTAATAATTATGTTATTGATACTAATTCAACTGTAACTCTGCTCTAGATATCTTGATTAGATTGGTAAATTTTAATCTATTTTTTGTTTTGTTTAAAATTTATTTATTAAATAGTTAAAGATAATGATCAAACACGTTCAACAGTATTTTTATTCGGTGATGTTGAACCAGGATAAAAACGTGGTGGTTGTGCTAGAGAACTTCTTGTTTATTATTTGGAAAAATTTTCTATTTTTTAATATTTAATAAATCTTTTTCTCTATAGAATATACTTCCATTGGGTGATTTTCAATTGATAATTAAGCCAAATTTGAATGTATTATCGAATATGTTTATTATTCTACCAATGACTTCGAATGATAAAGTTTGTTAAATTTGAAAAATAAAAAAAAATATTCTTTGATTAATTTTTTTAGACTTCAATGTATGCATGCATTATGTGCAACAGTTTATTATCAAGATGAAATCGATGATTTTCTAAATCAACATTCCGAAATTTTAGCTGATAAGCTCATGGTTTTTTTTAATTATTTTACTTTCAATAAATTATTAATATCTCTATTCTATATTATTTTCTCAGCCTATTTTTCATATGATCTTGATTTAAGAGAAAATAAATGCATTTTAGAACATTTTAGATAATATAGTTAGTTAGTTAGACCCGCTATCGTTTCCGGTGTAGGGTGAGAAGAAAAAAGACACAAAATACACAAAAAAATAGCTATTAGAAAAGTTAGAGTTTTTGTCTTCTTTGACGGCCATATTGTTAGAACTCGACTGACAATGAGAACGTGGAGATCAGAAGACCATCCTCCGGTAAACCAGCTTTAAATCGACTCCGTCATGGACCATACTCACAAAGTTCAGAAGGTGTCTTACAAACATTCGCAGATCATTTCCAATTCCTTGCAATCCATTCCATTTAGAATTTCTTTATTTAATTTTATTTTTCTTGCACCAAACTTGAGCATTAACACACGACTTTACATGATTCGTAATTCCTTGAGGTTTAAATTGAATTTCGCAACCAGGACAGACATAGTGATTATTTGTATTTTTAACAAGAGTTTCCGTTATTTTTCTTTTGACCACTGCGTGAGATGCAGCCAAGTCATCATTTCTTCGATTTACAGCTCTTTGTTTATATTCGTGAATAATTTCTTTAATATTTTGATGTACAGGTCTGCTGTGTACATTTTTGTTAATTAATTCTCTCCAGTGATCTCTGTTTAAAGAATCTTTTCTCCAATTTTTAATCTGACAGTATTCAATATCCTCTTTCACTTTATCCTCCCACCTTTTCCTAATGCCGATGTTACCAGGACGTTTCTCTTCTGGAAAATAAGAGAACGTGATCTTTTTCACTACAGATGGTTCATTATCACTGTTCATCATTCTGTTCGCATGACCAAACCACCTTAATCTGTTTCGACGTAGAATTCTTTCAATTGATGGTTGTCCAGTGATTTCTAAAATTTTATCATTTGAAATACAATCACCTAAATTGACACCAATGATTATTCTAAGACACTTCATATAAAACGTGTTAATTCTTTGTTCATGTGTTTTAGTGATTGACCAAGTTTCACTTCCATACAGCAGCACTGGTAGTACACATGCTCTATATATTTTCAATCTAGATTTAATTGAAATCGTCTTTCTGCACCAGATAACACTGCGTAGCATATTGAAAGCAGTGGATGCTTTCGCTAATCTTGTGTTGATTTCCTCATCAGGTTTTTGATCTCTTGGTATACCACAACCTAAATAAGTGAAGAATTCTACAGTTTCTACCTTCTGATTTCTAATATTAATATCAAAATCAGGTTGATTAACTTCATGATTGTGTATAATTTTATTATTTTGATCAATTTCCAGTTGTTTCAATGTCATAATACACGTTTTCTTCACATTCATTGATAACCCGTATTCTTGAGTAATTTTTTCAAAAGTTTTAATGAATGTCTCTAAATCATCAGATGTCTCACACATGACGACTAAATCGTCTGCGTACAGTAAAGCCAAAATGTCGAAGTTCAAATACTTTTCTTTTGTGCCGTGAAAAAAATCATTTCTTCCATAAATTGTACACCTGTTACATCTGCTTCTTCGATAACCTTCCTGATGATAAAATCAAATAAAATATTGAATAATATTGGAGAGGGAATGTCTCCTTGCATTACACCATTATAAATTTCGAAGCTATCCGAGAATTCACCATTCATTTTCACCTTTGCTTTTGAATTTTTATAAAGCATTTTTGGGTGTGGGTGTGGGTGTGGGTGGGTGTGGGTGTGGGTGTGGGTGTGGGTGTGGGGTGTGTGGGTGTGGGTGA